GGAGCTGAATTTCCAATGCTTAGGTAGATAAATAGTAGCATTAGCATTCGAGAAAGTATATGAAGATTGTATGGAAGATGAGTATGGGTGCTGGATGAAGAACTTGAAGTTAAGTCCGTAAATTGAATTATTTTGGTGGCGTCTGTGTAAGAATGTGATTCCCTCAAATTGTTTCCTTATGTTGTGAATCTGATTTCAAGAAATAGAATTTTGATGATAGCAAATATTTTTTGTTTTTCTACGACTGTCTTGCCTAATAACGTTTCATGTCCATAATATCAAATTGTAAATCGAACCAGCTCAAGATTGGTTAGATTAGGACTGAGTCATTTTATAATTTACAACAAGTGTATTTTACTTTTTTCTTGAGTCCTTTGTAACAATGTGGATCCTGATGCTAAGTAACCTTGCACACACACACTTGGAAAAAATTTTTGACTGTTTAAGATATTTCTGTTTTTGATCACATCATTCGGGATAATCCACAAATTAGCTTGAGTGATCAGTTAAAAATAGAAACCCTAATTAGGGCATCCTGGATAAGGAAACCACAATTAAGTATATCGTCCTGGACTATATTAGCATCATCCAAGATGATTGACTCAAATCAGAAAGAATCAGCTGCCATATCTATTTATGTATCATTTATTTTTGGATATCTTCCAGGCATTGTCCTGAATAATATAGTGCAATTATGCCTAAATTAATCTTGTAATTAAGAAAATAAATTAAGGTTCGATTGCTTGATCATATTGGCTTGTACGATTACAGTATCGTCCGGGACAATAAATTCACAAACCTTAGTTCTTTCTGGATGATCAAACATCAACCTGGCTCTATTTTAGGCAATGCTCTGGATGATATGTACTGAATTGAACTAATCATCCGAAATGATTGGGAGATCAACCTGGGCAATTAAGTTATTTTTACATCGTTCAGACATCCATTCAAGGTGATATTTTGGACGATATTTGTCATTTTATACTAATCAGCTCGGACGATCGTGAGATTGTCATGAACGATCTAGTTATTTTTTTATCGTCCAAACATCCATCCGGGGTGATTGTCTGGATGATATTCGTCAAGTTGAACTAATCGTACAGAATGATAGTATTATCGTCCTGGATGATATTTAATGACTACTTGCTAATTAAGGATGATTTGGAGTCCTTACTTAAAAGATCTCTTGTTCTCTAAAGTGGTGCTCTTTTGCTACTGTCTTAACATGAGAGAGCTAAGAGGAGAGGGAGAGCAAGAGAGAGAGATAGAGAGAGAGAGAAAGAGAGAGAGAGAGAGAGAGAGAGAGAGAGAGAGAGAGAGAGAGAGAGGATCTTATGAGGGGGAGTTTGTGATAGGTTTCATAAAGGTTACTCCAAGCAAGGATCCATGTCATCTTCTCAAGTCATCATCTCTGGTTCCTTGGGGGTTCTAGAGAGGTCTATTTTAGCATCTGATCGAGGTTCTCTGCCTGCTTATAGAGGAAGCAAAAGGAGTTGATTTCTCATCCTTCTTTTGGATGAAGCAAAAGAAGTTGGGTTCTCTACCTGCTTCAGGAGAAAGTAAAGGAGTTGGATTCTCTGCCTCACCAGGGTTGGTGGAAATATGTTTTTGTATGGACTTCTCCGCCTTGCTGTGGGGGCAAAAGAAGAGACACTGTGTTTAGTGTAATATTCGGAGAAGAGGCTCCGGGGAGTGGGCGTAGGTCAAGTTGACTGAACCACTATAAAATTTGATGTGTTCTTTCTTATTGTACTTCCACATTTAATTTCTAAACTTTGATTTCTATTATGATTGTTTGGTTGCATTTTTTATTCTGCTTAAAAAAATTTTTAAATACCAATTCACCCCCTCTTGGTTAGCCTTGAGACTAGTTCATAAGGGCTTAACATTCCTGTCAAACTTTCAAGTGGTTTCAGAGTGGGATTCATAAAAATGAGTTTTTGAAAACTTTTTAATTTTGATTAATGGCTAACTTTGAAAATTGTAATGCTGCGGAAGGTTATTCTATTACCCGACCACCTTTGTTTGACAAAAATCCTTTTGATTTTTCAAAAACTTGCATGTCTACATTTTTGCAATCGATTGACTATCGCATGTGGATGCTTGTTATGGATGGTTATTCACCTCCATCTCATAAACCTAATGGCATTAATATTGTACTTCCTTTTATTAAATGGACTCTTGATGATATGGATTTATCTCAACTGAATGCAAAATGCTTGAACTATTTTTTCTTTGCTTTGAAATTGGAAGATTATATGTGTGTTTCAACTTGTGCTATTGGTAAAGAAATTTGGAATAGATTGTGTATTACTTATGTAGGAACCAATGAAGTTGAACAATCTAGGTTGAATATTTTGTTGCATGACTACGAACTTTTTCGTATGAAACCTACTGAATTGACTTCTGACAAGTTTATTAGGTTTACTCAAATTATCACCTCATTGCATGCCTTAGGAAGAGAGCTAACTAACTATAAAAGAGTGAATAAAATTTTGAAATGCTTGCCTTCTTCCTTTGATGTTAAGATCACTATAATTACTACATCTAAATATTTGAATACCTATTCTGTTGATAACTTACTTGGGTCACTTATTGCTTACGAGCAAGGAGTGAACCAAAGACAACTTGATGCAGGTGAGCAAAAGAAGGAGAAAACTATGGTGCTGAAGGCCAATAACACGAACACTGATTCTTCCAGGTCTGAAAGCGATGATGTTTCCTTAATCACTAGGAAATTCAAAAGATTTCTAAGGAAGAATCAAGAGCTCCATCATAAATGGAAAAAAGGTAAGGGTAGAAAAAATAAATAAAAGTTCTTATGATGTTGTTTATTTTGAATACAAGAAGCCTGCACATGTCAATGATGATTGTCCTACACTTAAGGATCACCCAAGAAAGGAGAAGGGTGAGGAGAAAGCCAAGTACAAGAAGGATAAGAAGTGGTTCCAAAAGGCGTTATAGGTGGATTCTGTATCGGACTCCTCTGAGGCTAAAGCTGAGGAGGAAATAATAAACTTTTGCTTGATGACTGGTGATCATCCTAGTCAGTCTAACCAAGAAGAGGTATGTGAACCAACCTATGATCAATTACTTGAAGTTTGTGAGAACATTCATGCATTATATAGGAAACTTAAGAAATCTCATACTAGTTTGAAATTGGAGTTTACAAATTTGAAAAAAGAGCATTAAATTTTATTGAAAGATCACTCCCAAATTGATAGAAATCACATGTCATTAATTGACGAGTTTGATGAATTAAATAAAAAGTATTCTGAGTTGGTTGTTGATCATGATTCATTGAAAGCATCCTATACCTCACTTGAAACTGATTTTAAAACATATATTAATGAATCTGAGCATAAGGAGCACTATTTGAATGTTGATAATGCTATTTTAGAAAGTGCTAACTCGAGGTTGAAAGTTGAATTGAATGCACTTGAGAAAAATAGGAATACACTCATACCTGAATAGTTCTTCAATCCTGATCCAAAGCAAAAACCTATAAAAAGGCATTATAACCCAAATAGATTAGTAAACCATTTTCCTGGTATTAGATGTTTTTTATGTGGCATGCTAGGACACATTTCACACACTTGCACTATTCACCGTAGTACACATTGGTTGTAGAGACCCAAATTGCATGATTCATAACATAACATACATGTATTGCATTCTTCTTTCTATAAAAAGAGACCCAAACCTATTTGGGTTCCTAAATCTAACATTTGAAGATTTTATGGGTGTGCTCTCACCAAAGACCTCGTGAGAGCATGTGGTACATGGACAGTGGATGCTCACGACACATGACTAGATATGCCTATCAATTTGTTACGCTGGAGACCAGGGCTGGAGGCAAGGTCCCTCTTGGAGACAACACCACCAAGAAAGTGGTGGGCACAGGTATAATCAAAAACTCCAAGAACCTTTTGATTAAAAATATTTTGCTTATAAATGGACTGAAACACAACTTGCTAAGCATCAGCCAGCTATACGATAAGGGCTTCATCATAAAATATTTAACAAATACATGTATTGTTATCTTGAATAAGAACACTATTTTGTAGGGAAAGCAGATTAATAATATTTACATGCTTTTTTTAAATAATATTTAATTTGCTACTTCATTTGTTTAAAAATTATTGTTGATGATGATTGGTTGTGGAACAAGTGGTTATATCATGCCAATATGAAAACCCTTAGGAGAGTGACCTAAAAGGACCTAATTAGAGGTGTCCTCAAGCTTAAATTTTCTAAAGACCAACTAGGGGTGTAACCGAGTCGAGTCGAGTCGAGTATTTGCCTTATCAAGCCTGGCTCGTTTAAGACTTAATGAGCTCGAGCTCGATTAGTGGGCTCGAGATCAACTCATTTGGAGTATACCAAGCTCGAGCTCGACTCGAAAGCTCGAGCTCGTTTGAAAAGCTCGAGCTTGAGCTCGAGCTCGGCTCGTTTAATTGGCTTGACTCTTTAAATGTAAACCAAAATTTTTTTTCTTAAATTTAGTTCTTGAAGAAATCAATATATACATATATAGTGTCATAGTGAGCAATCATCTTCCTTCAAAAAATTATATTTATAAATTTGATCAATATCAATTACAACTTTAAGCAATTAAGCACAATAAAACTTGATTAATATAAAAATAGAGCATTCATATCATTGTTAGACCAAATTGTATATCATCAAATCATTACAAAAAGAAGTAATTGGAGTTATACAATCCATTAAAAAGTTTCATAATAGTGCATAAGTAAAAAACACAAACAAAAGATAGAACTATTTATTCCATGTCTGTCTGATATTCCATATTCTTCAAACTCTTTCATCTCAACTCTCTATTACCAATTAATATGCTGCAAACCTGAGAAATTAAGAAAAAAGTTAAATAATAATTATTTTAAAAATAGCACTATAGCAACTGTCTAAATTTACATATTCTATAAATCTCAAATTTGATGCCTCATATTAAATATTAATATACCTTGATCATGTCATTGAAACTATTTTGTTTCGGTACTTTTTTGACTAGTGGGCCATCCATGTGAAGAAAAACTAAAAGAAAATATCATGAGCTGCAGAATTAAATGAATGAAACATGAAAAAGACACATTAGACCTCTTCATTCTGTTATGGTTACGATAAAAATCAACACCTTGAAGTATTAAAAATTTACTCTCAATTATTAGGCTTCACATTCCCATGATCATGCCAAGAATTACACGTACAAAATCTAAGATGGAAAATCATGCTCAACAAAAGTGAATAGAGGAAATATAAAAATGCATTATGGAACCCTTTATTTTGCTTGAGATCTATGCAAAATTGTTAAAAAACTCAATCCCACCTACATCTCAGAAATCCACTTTGTGCTCATCATATTAAAAAACTGACGCAATAGATTATATGCTACAAAGATGAATTTAGGAAACATTAAAATCAGCTTGGTATCATTGATTGTTCTTTCATACATGTGCTACTTCACAATGCGATTGGTAGTAATTCTACAGGTGGGGTTAATATTAGAAAAATAAATTTCAGCACCCTTAGTGGAATAAAAAGAAACTTCACACAAATATTTTTTACCTTAGATTTTTTCATATAATCGGTAAGAAAATCTCCACCTCTTCATCTTCTTCTTCCTCCTACAAAAGAAAAGATAATTTAATGTTCATATATAAGTATGTGGAATACTAAATAAATGTCAACAAAACTTGCATGTACAAATATTACCTTAACCCTTCCCTTCAAGCCATAGTGGCAGCGAACCCAGTTGGAACCACAAAGGAGAGCTTGCACAGTGTCAACCCCTAATTTTGATCGATATGTATGAACTACTCTTTCTCCAGCACTGAAAGTGGACTCTGAAGCAACTGTACTAACAGGGATGGATAAAATATCCACTGCCATTCTTGAAAGTATGCGGTATTTGGCTTGATTGTTTTTCCACCATGCTATCACATCAAACTTCTGCCCTTCACTACAAAGTTCTAAGCCATCTTCCAAGTAGTTGTCTAAATCTGATTTTATAGGCCTGGGGCTTATTTTGGATGAGACAAATGAGGTGAAATCATGCCAACCACTATATTTTTTAGAAGTAGATTGATGGTCTACACTTTGCAATAAATTGGTTGTGCTCCTTGAACTCCCTCCTGCAATACCACCATCACCATCAAATTCGGCTTCAGAACTTCTAACATATTCCTCATACATTTCATAGAGAAGACATCTAACATGCTGCACATTCCTCATGCTTTCATCTCCATGATATATCTTAGGGTAGGCATACTCAATTACAATAAACTTCATTCTTGGATCCATCACTGCACCAAAAGCCATGAGGAGATTACATTCACCTCAATATTTATCAAATTTAGCTTTCATCTTCTTAGTCATCTCCACAATAAAATTATCAGTAGAAATTGCCCCCTCATCCAACACCTTCTTAATAGTACAAATTTGTGAAAGAAATAAATTTGCTGTAGGGTAATCAATTCCTGAAATAATATCAGTTGCTTCGTTGAAGAATCCCAAAATATCACAAACTTTTTCAATTTTATCCCACTCCTCCTCAGTTGGACATGCAACATATGCCACTTCTCTTTCGTTATATGAAAAAAAGGCTTCCCTTAACCTTAATGCCACTGTCAACATTGAGTAAGTTGAGTTCCAACGAGTTGGGCAATCCATTACTAGCTTTCTAGTAGGTAACTGTAACTGTTGGACAACCTCAGAAAATCTGACTAACCTTGCTTCAGATGCATTCACAAAACTTACAGTATCTCTAATTTTATCAATAATATACTCCACACTTTTACGCCATCCTTAACCATAAGGTTTAATATGTAAGTACAACAACGGATATGAAACAACCTTCCTCCAAAGAATAGTTTTTTCTTCACTCTAAAACTATCTTTTAAAAGCTTCATTGCCCTATTATTATTTGATGCATTGTCAACTGAGATTGTAAAAACTTTATCCTTAATACCCCATTCACAAAGTACCTTGTAGAATGTATCAAAAATTTTGGTAGCCGTATGTGGTGGTGGCAAATGCAAAAAACTCAAAACTCATTTCTGTAACTTCCACTGTGAATCAATATAATGAGCTGTCACTTCCATAACTATGAAATTCTTCTGATTTTTTGACTTCCATAAATCTGTGGTAAAACTATATTTGTTAACTGCCCTTAAAAGCATTCTTCAATTTTTTTTCTCCCTTTCATACACTTGTATGACATTATTGGCTGCTGTTGCCCTTTGAGTATTTCACAAAAAGGTGACATAGCCTTCAAAATTATGTGAACCAAATTCTTCAACAATAGAAAAGTTCTCATTAATTAGAATGTAATTTGCATCATCTCCCTAACTTTGATGATTCATAATTAAATGTTATTCAACATTCCACCATCTTGACTGCTCTGAGAGAATGTGTTGCGGATCTATGGCTTATGATTTTGATGATAGAAAACATTCTTTTTCTCTATGACTGCTTTCTACTAACGTTTCAGGTCCACACTAGTCAGACTGCAATCTGGAAACCAGCTAATTGCGTGATAGACTAGGGCCTTGTGTTTAGTTTGTAATATATTTCTTTCTTGAGTCCTATTGTATTTTGTGTGCATCTGATGATTTGTAACTTGGAAGATTTTACTGTTGTGCCCTAAAAGTTTCTATTTTGGTAACATCGTCCCGGACGATATTGTATATCGTCCTGGAGCGAAATCTGACAAAAGTAGAATCCTAATTAGGCACCTCTTTAAGCAGACCGTCTTTATGCAAAACAACTCGTACCTGGATTGAATTCTGTATCACGGCCAGTGACGAATCGGCTCATACAGCAAGAATTCTGCCGCCAAGATCTACTGGAAAATTTATTGTTGATATGTCCCGGCGGATTCGTCTGCGACTATAAAATATCACAAAAGGATGATCCAGGAAGCAATTTTTCAGAACATTTCTCAAAAGCAGTTTTGGAAAGCAATTTAATGGGGAATTTCGTCCAGGCCTGATCGCAAGATCGCCGGACGATTCGACATCGTCCCAGCTTCATTCAGGCGATATTCAGGACGATTTTTCCTCATATTTGTGCTAATCGGACAGGACGATTTGTCTATCGTCCTGGACCGATAATGGCGGCAACATTGCATTAATGAGCTCGTTTTGGAGAGGCTCTATTTTAAGCTATGCAAGGCACTTGTAAGTGTTCTTTGGCAGCCATTGTAGCCTTAGTTCTTGGGGAAACTTGAAGAGGAGCTTGAAAGGGAGAGAGGAAAGGTGGGAGTTTGAGAAGAGGGAGTAGATCTGTGATGGGGAGACTCAAGGGCAGTGTGGTGGGGGATCCACACGGTTGCTCCGGCGAACTCGCACTTTAGTACCATTGGATTCAAGGCTTGTTCTGAGGTAAGTTCACCAAAAGAAGATCTCTTTGTGTCAAAGAACCCGACGGACTCCGCCGCACCGGGGAAGGTGGAAGTGATTTTGTAAGGGCTTCTCCACCTAGCCGTGGGGGCTTAAAGGAGACATTATTTTAGTGCAATACTTGGGGGGTGCCTCCAAGGAGTGGACGTAGGTCAAGGTTTGACCGAACCACTATATAATCCGGTGTGTCTTTGTTTACTATTTCCGCATTTTAATTTCCGCACTTTGATTGTGGTGATTTGGATTGTATTTTGGTTTTAAAGTTTTTCCAATTCACCTCTCTCTTAATTAGCTTGGGATTAAAGTTCAGAGGGCCTAACATCCCTAACGAACTTTCAAGTGGTATCAGAGCAGGAGATTCAAAAAAATTAAGTTTGAAAACTTTTTGAATTTGATCCATGGCTAACATTGGAAATCGCAAACACTATAGAAGGGTATTTCTATTACCCGACCTCCCCTGTTAGATAACAACCTTTTGATTTTGGAAAAACTCGCATTCAACGTTTTTACAATCTACTTGATTATCGCATGGGATGCTTATTCAAGAAGGTTATTCTCACCTTCTCGTGAAATTAATGGTGTTAAGACTGAAGTTGCTTTTACTAAATGGACTTTCGATGAACGTAATTTGGCTCAGTTAAATACAAAATGTTTGAACTATTTTTTCTGTGCTTTGAAATCTGAAGATTACATGCGTGTTTCAACTTGCAAAACTGGTAAAGAGATTTGGGAATAAATTATGCATCACCTATTGAAGTACTAATGAAGTTTAAGCAATCCCGTTTGAACTTTCTCTTACATGACTATGAACTTTTTGTATGAAACCTCATGAATCGATTTCTGACATGTACACTAGGTTTACTTAGATTGTTACTTCATTGCATGCACTAGGAAAAGAGCTTTCAAATTATGAAAAGTTAACAAGGTTTGAGATGCTTGCCTTCGTCTTACGATGCAAAAATTACTGCCATTACTGAATCCAAAGATTTGAACACCTATTCTATTGATAACTTTCTTGGCTCACTCATGCTTACGAGCAAGGGGTGAATCAAAGAAATCTTGATACAAGTGAGAAGAAAAAGGAGAAAACAATCGCACTAAAGGCGCACAATCGAATTCCGAATCTTCCGCGGCTGAAAGCGATGATGTTGCCTTAATCACAAGGCAATCAAAAGCTTCTAAGCTTTCTAAGGAAGAAACAAAAGCATCATGCAAATGGAGGAAAGATAAGCGATCACAAATATGTTAGGATCTCTCTGATATTGTTTGTTTTGAATACAGGAAACCTGGACATGTGAAAGCCGATTTGCCCTACACTTCAAGATCATTCAAGCAAAGAAAAGGAAAAAAGTGAGGAGAAAGCCAAGTCAAGGAAGGACAAGAAGAAAATCCAAAGAGGTTTTTGGGCAGAATCTGGTACTGATTCCTCTGAGACTGAACCAGAGGAAGAGACTACGAATTTGTGTTTCATGGGAGAAAATCAAAGTGATGAGGAAGAGGTATGTAAACCAACCTATGATGAATTGTTTGAAATTTGTGAAAAAATCCATGCATCATACAAAAAACTTAAGAAAACTCATGCTAGCCTAAAATTAGAACATTCAAATCTACAAAAAGAGCATGAAGTGTTTCTCAAAGATCATGCAACGATTGATTCAAAATCACATGTCTCTCCTGATGAATTTGATGAGTTGAACAAAAACATTTGGAATTGGTGATAAACATAATGCATTAAAAGTTTCACAACCTCACTTAGTTTTGATCTTAAAAAATCTAAAGAATTGAGAAAAATTGAGGATTGAGATTGATGCATTAAAAGAGAACAATTTGAGGATTCAAAATGATTTTGATACATGTAAGAAAAATCGGATGACTTCCACTGTTGATCTTAAGCAAGAACCTAGGAAGAGGCATTATAATTCAAATCATTTAAGAAACCCTTTTCCTGGAGTTAGATGTTTCTCATGTGGCATGCTAGGACACATCTCACACACTTGCACCGTTCACCGTAGTACTCATTGGGTGTGGAGACCTAAGATGCATGATTCAAGCATACCTTACCTGCATTTACATTCTACCTTTTCTAAAGAGGATCCCAAACCTGTTTGGGTTCCTAAATCTGACTGTTGTTAAGTTTTGCAGGTGTGCTCTCACCAAAGCCTCGTGGGCATAGGATAACTGGACATAAGGAGGATTGCAGTCTCAAAATTGCTTAATACTCGCTGCTTTATCAGCTTGCTTGAAACATTAGTTTTGTGTGTCTTTTTATTTTATTTTATTTTTCCTATTTTTGTGCTCACTTTGTTATTAATTTTAGTTTGCTGTTATTTCATTTGTTTTGTTTGTTTTGTTTTGTTTACACGTTGCTCTTTAATTTTGCTTTCCATATGATAATCTACTCACAACTTTTAGATTTTGCGAAGTTTTTGGAGAATAGTGTTTTTAGCTTTTCAAAATTGGTTAAAAGGAGTTTTAATGTTGATGTTTTCCTCTTCAGACTTTATTTAAGTGGTATGATTTCTCTTCTCTAAAACAAAGTCTAAACTCGGTTTAACCAATGGCCTTTTAATTAAGGATCCCTTTCTTATTTTGCTACATTAATTTATCTTATGCATAATAGCCAAAGTTCCTTATTATCTTTCAAGTTTTTTTTGAAAATCTTGTCATTGCATTTATCACATGATTTTGAATTTGTGTTGTCG